CACTCAGGAGGCAGAGGGAAGTGGATCTTGCTGAGTTCAGAGCTAGCCTGATCTAGAGAGTGAGCTTTAGGACACCAGGACTACAAAAATAGATCCTGTCTCCAAAAGCAAAAACAAAAACAAAAAAAGGAGAAAAGGAAAGAAGGAAAAGAAGCAAGGGCTGGAGAGATGGCTCAGTGGTTAAGCACACTGACTGCTCTTGCACAAGACCCAAGTTCCATTCCCAACACCCACATTAGGAACTCACAATCCCCCATAACTGTAGTCACAATGGATTTGATACCCTATTCTGTCCTCCAAACGGAAACAAACCAAGCAGGAGTGACACATGCCCTTAATCCCAGCACTCGGCAGTCAATGGCAGGTGGATTTCTGTGAGTTGGAGGTCAGCCTGGGCTACAGAGCGGGTTCTGGGAGAGCCAGGGATACATAGAGAAACAATCTCTGTAGGCTTTTAATATATGTTTCTCTTATTGATTGATGAATACAACACTGACTGACCAGTAAGCAGTCAGGAGGTATAGCCAAGGCTACCAAACTAGGAATGCTGGGAAGAGGGACACAGAGAGGAGTCTCGAAGGAGCCGCCGAGGAAGAAAGGAGACCCGGCATCACCGGTAAACCCAAGACCATGTGGAAATACATAGGTTAATAGATATGGGTTAATAATTAAGAGAGAGCTGGCCAATAAGAAGCCTGAGCCATCTGCCAAACAGTTCATAGTTAATATAAGTCTTTGTGTGTTTATTTGGGACTGAAGGGTGGTGGAACCAGGTAGAAAAGAAAGAGAGAGAGAGAGAGAGAGACAGAGAGGGAAGGAAGGAAGGAAGGAAGGAAGGAAGGAAGGAAGGAAGGAAGGAAGGAAAAAGGATCAACCCATGGTCGCTAAACCTTGTTGCCTGAAGCCCTCAGAGGCACAGTACATCAGATCTGAGGAGACTGATTACCTCATGGCAGTTGGGAAGAAAAAGAGAGAGCAAGGACTGGAGTACCTGTGTCCCCTTCTCAGGAACCTCCTAGCAGCTCAAGTTCCTTCCACTAAGGCCCCACTTCCCAGTGTCTACTACTTGCAGTAACCCCATAGGCTAGTGAACAACATTTTAATACATAGGCCTCTGGGGGGGGGGACATTCAGTGTGTAACATATTTGGTTGGATAATCTAGAAAAGTTCGCATGTAAAGGAGGTCAGTCAACTCTCCAGAACCCTAGGAGCAAAACCCATCCTAGACCCACAGAGACCCCAAACCTCCAGTTTTAACATTCAGAGAAAATCTGCCACTTCAGCCCACAGGGTCTAACTGTGTTAGTGGGATGGGCCAAATCCAGAGTTTTTTTGTGTGTATTTGTTTTCCCCATTTACGTATTTATGGGACTAGAGAAACGACTCAGCGGTTAAGAGCACTAACTGCTCTTCCAGAAGACACGGTTCAAGTTCCAGTACCCACATGGCAGTTCCAGGGTTTCTGACACCCTCACGCAGACACACATGCATTCAGAATACCAGTGCACATAGAATTTAAAAAATAAAATATGCATTTACTGACACCCTCACACAGACATACATGTACACAGTGCACATAGAATTTTTTAAAATTACATACATGTATATATATATATATATATATATATATTTAATTTATTGAAACAGTCTTACTGTGTAGCCCTGGCTGTCCTGGAACTTACTGTGTAGATCGGACTGGCTTCAAACTCACAAAGATCCACCTTCTTCTATGAGTGCTGGAATCTAATGCATGGCCACCATTTCCAGCCCTTTGTGTGTAGTTTAAAGGGCTCCTAGTTCTTACCTTTCCAGGACCAGAGGGTTATCTCAGTGATATCAGTCTCTTTCTACTTTATCTCTACTCTAGGTGAGAAGGAGAACGGTCAGGCCAGAAGGAACCACACTTGGCCCTGAAGGGGAAAATTAGTTCCTTTGGGGAGAACATATATATTGATACTCATTTTCTTTGAATGGAAAATCATCAAGTCCTTGAAAGTAATTGTAATTTGTTTCCAGATTTAAAAAATAGTGGCAAAAAAATTAATAAATAGATAAAAAGAGGGAGCCAGCGAGATGCTCAAGGAGCCTGCTACCAAGCCTAATGACCTGAACTCAGTCCTCAGTACCCGCAAGACTTTTACCGCCAAAAGAGAGAACACGCTCCTGCAAGTTGTCCTCTGAACTCTACACACACACCGTGGTACACATGCGTGCGCACACTCAGGCACATGCACACAATAAGTGGTGTGCACAGATTTAATGAGGTAAATAAAGGGCTGGAGAGGTGGCTCAGTGGTTAAGAGCATTGGCTGCTCTTCCAGAGGACCGGGGTTCAATTCCCAGCACCCACATGGCAGCTCACAACTGTCTGAAACTCTAGTTCCAGGGGATCTGATACCTTCACACCAATGCACATAAAATAAAGTTAAATGAATTATTTAAAAAATGAGGTAAATAAAGAACTAAATAAGAGGCAGTGGCACTGTCAAATTGTGGCTGCCGCCGAGACAGACTGTTTGGGCATGCTGTAGCTGAAACCCCAGAGTGTGTTTGCTGCTCGTTTGTCTTCCGTTTCTCAGGAGACAGAGAAAGAAGGCTGCGTTGTCTAACGCCTCTGAGGGGGACTGCTCCCTTCCCTTTTCCCCTGTGCGCCCTACCAGGATGCAAAGCCCAAAAGGCAGGGACTTTTGCCTTGCTAACCGCTGCCATTTACCGTTAATGTCATGCCTGCCATGCTATACCCTCGCCAGTATTTGCTGGCGGTGTGAATGAATGAATGCGCAGAGCCCACTCGGCCCCCGTCCCCGCTCTGGGACTGGATTCCCAAGCCCTGCCAGGCTCCTCTGCCCTATTTTTGGCCTTGGCTTCGGCCTTGAGGGCCAGGCTAGCTGCTTCAAGGCTGGCCTCCACCTTGCTGCGGAACAATAGTGAATTCAAGAATGACCCTGGAAAGATGCCGCGCGCGCGTGTGTGTGTGTGTGTGTGTGTGTGTGTGTGTGTGTGTGTGTGTGTGTGTGTGTAGGCCTGCCCCAGAACTCTCTAGTGTTTCGTTTGATTAACTGAAGCTCCTACAGAAGAGTTTCGATTCCTACTCCGCTGAGTTTTGACCTGGGGCATTACAGAGCGGAGTCCAGACGTTAGCAAGATGTGTTTTTCTTACGATTCTCCTTTTTTCATGATAGACTCTCCCACCTTTTGCTCTATGCCTGTTGCTTCCACTGCTGTTTGTTTGTCGAGGAGTGTGTGACACTTTCCGACCAGGTGTGGTGGGGGAGTACGCAAGGTGAATCAGAAATCCACATTCATACCTGTCTACATCGTGAATTGGAGATCACCCTTCGCTACAAGAGACCCTTTTTTTTTTTTTTTGAGGGTGTGTGGGTGTGCTCCTTTTATATAGTCTGACATAGTACAGGCATTCGGGTATAACTGAGGCCTCTCGGCTCACCTTTTCCATTTGTTCACTAAAGTAACTAAGGGAGGTAGAGACAGGTGGATCTCCCTGAGTCTAAGAGCAGCCTGGTCTGCATAGTGAGTTCCAGGTCAGCCAGGGCTGTGTAGCGAGACCCTGTATAAAATAATGGTTAAAATTAAAAAGGGAGAAACCTCACTCAAACGATTTTCCAGTGAAAGAGGAAGACTTTAAAAGCAGGGCAGCCGGGCGTTGGTGGCGCACGCCTTTAATCCCAGCACTCGGGAGGCAGAGGCAGGAGGATCTCTGTGAGTTCGAGACCAGCCTGGTCTACAAGAGCGAGTTCCAGGACAGCCTCCAAAGCCACAGAGAAACCCTGTCTCAAAAAAGAAAAGATCCTTCTTAAAAGCAGGGCTTGGAGCTGCAAGTCAGAGGAACACTGTGACTCAACAGAGGCTACAAATGTGTGTCCCCAGGCGACTTGGCATGACTGGGAACATGTAAGCGTAGAAGTGTTCTGACTTACCAGTGAGGATGCTGAGATATTTGAACAAAACTTAGGAAGAATGTGCATCTCGGACTTGGATCTGGCCTGGCATTTTGAATCCAGCACAGGAAATTCCTAAAAAGCCAGGGACAATGCCCCGATTGCTTTATTAGTTTTCTTCTGCCTGACCTTGTGATTGAGAAAAAGAAGCAGGAATCATCAGTGAGATTGTTTGAATCCCATACTGTCTCTTCCAAGCAAAATCCCCAGCCTAGCCAAGCCTCAGGGGGTCCTGGGCTCTCTCTGGGCTTCCCTTGTGGGAGGTTTCTGCCCACTCAGGTACAAGAGGAGGGCAGTTTGCCACATGGCAGAGCTCCAGGAGGGGCAGCTACAAGGGCTGCGGGAGCAGGGGGAGGTCTGGGGACACTCAGACCCTGGCCCCTGCAGAGGCCCTCAGAGGCAGTTACTGGGACCAAAAATAGTTTACTTGCAACGGGCAAGGCTCTGCACCAAACTGACGTTAATTCAAAAGGGGACTGGACTGCAGAGAAATAGAAAGCTGTATCGGTCAGTGCTGGCGTACTCTGGGCAACAGGTTGAATCTCATCACTCCCTAGCCAATTCACTTGTCAGAGAACACAAGGGACTGAACTCTGGGAAAATGGTCAGGGTGATTAGGAGATTCCTCCCAGCCAAGCTAGAATTTCTTATCTTGTGTTTGAATCCGAATTGGAAAAGCCAGCCAGCAGATCGGGATCGCAGACTCCATAAACCAACAACCACACTGGGAAATATGCATATGACACTTGTCTGGACCATGAAGGGAACGCTATTTGTCTCTCCTTGTGGACTGCAAGGTGCTGCGGCGGAGAACTCCAGTTCTCCGGAGAAACCAGAGCAATAAACGTGGGCTTGTCCAAGTTGACCTCGTGCTTGAACCCTGTAGTCCAGGGTTTCAAGGACCCGCCCGGGTGGGAGTGAGCACGTGGTGTGTGCTGTTTTTCCCAAACTGTGACGCCATAACTTTCTCTTCGCTTTGTTTACCAGACTAAGTCTTAACATTGAGCTATCATGTAAACTTCCCTGTCTGCTCTTTTCAGTTCTAGGGAAAATCCGAACCGCAGTGGGCAGCGCCCAACTTCTCATGGCGCAGAAATTCTACCAGTTCAGAGAACTGTGTGAAGAGAACCTGGTAGGTACCATCCACATCATCGTGACTCCTTTGCTAGCACAGCCGGGAGAGACCTTGTCCTCAAGACTGGCCCAGCCAAAGCAAAACTCAGTTTGCACCAAGTCAAGGCTCATTGGAGTCTTTTAACAGACGAATCCGACTTCCCGATTTTCACTAAACAAACAAAAACCCCACTTTGTTTTACACTTACATAATCTTAGGGGCAGAATTAAATTAAAAACTCCATTTCCTGATCTTTTTTTTTGTACTGAAAATTTTCCATGTTCCCAGATTTTGGCATGATGCTTTTGATTTTCTTATTCTTGTTAAAGTATGGAGCAACCGGTGTTTCCTAAATACTATTACAAGGATAACTATTTTGGCTCATGTCACTCTTTCTAAAATGGCTATCAGTGACTGTGTCTGTGATCAGAGTTTTGTTTTAACTCAAAGGCCAGAGGTTGAGTGCCTCACAAAATGTAGATTAGACACCCTGAGGCAAGCGAGTGCTCCATCTACCTCTGTCATGCAAAAACAAAGGGAGGAAAACCCCCATCTGGATAGCAATAGCGTTTGCAAATTTGATGTGAAACAAGGCCTCTTCGGGGGAGGCCTGAAAACAGAAGCCTCTATCCTCCAAGAATGACCCTACAAACACAACTGGTATTGGTCGGGCTCACTCCACAGCAAAGCAAAGGAAAAGCAAATCATGGCTGTGTGTGAAGTGAAAACATGATTGACATCTAAATGACCCAGATAGGAAATTTAGAGTTTTTTTAACTCTGTGTCCTAGGTACTGCGGGTTTTCTCCTCAAAGGAATCTAAGCCAGGGCCGGCAAGGTGAATTCTGGGTAAGGGGCCTCGCAGACAAGCCTGATGTTCAGTCTCCTGAACTCAGGAGGCACACTCACAAGAGGATCAACTCAAAAAACTGTTCTCTCTCACACACACACTGAGTAAATGTAAAAACAGAATTAATGAGCAAGTTCCCAAGTGTACTACAAAGTAGAACATAAATAAAGATGTGCAAACTTTAAAGATGAAATTGCAGGTACCCCCCCCTTTTTTTTTAATGTGTACTGATTTCTGGAAATTGCCAGGTTCACGAAAGCCAGCTTTTGACATCTTACCATTCCTCAGAGTGGCTGCTATGACCACTAGAGAATGTCCCTGTTTATGGCATCACCACACCAACAGGAAGGTCATTGGTACTGCCCAAGCCAGGCCTCTGAAGATCAAACACAGCACCGTAGGTGCCAGGTGCCCTGGGTTAAAACTCCTCAGAAAGGTCATTTGGGGTTACCAGTGGCATGAATTATTAATATGTTTTATAGATGGGGTAGATGAGCATAAAAAGTTAAGAAACTTAGCTACCACCAGCCCATGGTAAAAAGCAGAGCCAAGAATCAGACCCTTGTCTGTTCAGGCTCCATCCCCATAAATCCCAGGCAGGATTGTGAATTCCATCCCTCCCAGGAAACAGTGTGACCGGGTGGTGGCTCCACTTGGTACTGCAGCTGTATGACAGTAACTCTGAGGGGTGGCAGCAAGATGGCCCAGCAGGCAAAGGAGCTTACTGTCAAGTCTGATGACCTGAGTTTGACCCTGGTACCCACAGGATGGAGAGAGAGCACACCAGCTCCTACACCTGCTTGTCCTGGTACCACCCCCAGCACGCGCGCACAAGCGCGTGCGCGCGTGCGCGCACACACACACACACACACACACACAGAGTAAATAAATATGTGTGTGTTTTTAGGAAGTGACGTAGGGCTGGTCAGAGACAGGTGCAGCTGGTCTTTCTTTATTCCCTCTTTCTTTAAGAGGGAAAAAGAGAAGGTAGTTTGAGAACATATTTATCCCAGAGTAGATTCTCAAGCTTAGAGTAAATGAATTTTTCCCCAGCATAACTAAACCAGGGGGACCCCCACCCCCCAACTCTCCCTCTAATCTCATAGATGATCTGGTTTAGGTTCGGCCACACTACCGTACGACTCATACTTTCATACCACCGCTGGGTTGGAGAATGGCTAGCACTTACCCTCTTTTTTCCTTGTTTGTCTTTTAGCCAATGCAGCACAAAGAGATTCCTTTGGGGGCAAGACCAGGTTGCCCATGATACAGAGTTGAGTGTATCTAAGGAACTGCTATAAAACTTGGGCTACTGAACTATAGGTTGACCATGCCCAAACCCCCAAAAGAATCCAAAATCAGGAAACCTCTGAAACCTAAAACTTTGGGGATACCAAGGCATTGATACAAGGCAGATACACATCTGACCTCCTATAACATGTCACGGTCAAAATACAGGCACACTAAAAATGTGTATAATACCTTCAGACCGTGTGTACAAGGTGTACGTGTCATGTACGTCAACTTCACTTTAAGATGTGTGTTCTAGCTCCAGGGTATCTCAATATGGATAGGCAAACATTTCCACATCCTATGAACTCCAACATCTCAACGTCTGGTCCCAAGGGTTTCAGAAAAGAAGCATTCACTCTGTACTTTTTCTCTCATTGGTGCTAAAATAATACAACAGTAAAACTCATGACCCAGATGAATGTCACCGAACTCCAAAACATGAACTGTTTAGTTTGCCATGATGGATAAGGCTAAATATATTGAGAAATCATAAACTTCTGAGAAGTGCTTTGTCAAATCTGCCATCCATTCTGAATGCTGAGGGGTTGTTTGTTTTTGCTTTATCCCTTTCGGTCTTTTGTTGTTTGTGGTGCAGCCTCAAACTTGAGATGTTCCTGTTTCAGGTTACCCCCCCCCCCCAGCTTACTTAAGTGATAATTGGTGTTTGCCACCACACCCCTTGGAGGACTTTTGTTCTGGTTTCTGGTTGCTTTTTACTATGTGAAGATATCACAGAGAACCCTTTTTGTTCACTCAGGTATCATTATAATCCTTTTTTATGCTTTGCTGTATTTGTTTTATTTTGGTTTGTTTCAAGCCCAAGGCCTTGAGTATGTACCACTAAAGTCACGCTCACTCCCATCTCTGGGATAGATTTTAATATTGAACCAAGCACTTAAAAACCGTAAAGTATGTTTATTCCGGAGAATCTCACAACCGTGAGTAGTTTCAGAGTCATCCTCAGATGTCAATGTTGTTTCCAACCTTGAAACAATTAGATGGTCAACAACCTTTATGAGTTTCTGAAATTCTGATGATACCGTTTTTCCTGGGTTAATTTTAAACGTCCAAGCTGCCTTCAGTTATCAGTTATCACAGGATGTGGCAGGGGCTTACAGTTGTTTATAATACTAAGAAATAACAAATGACACCGTCCAGAAACCCCTGGCCGGTGGAGGGGAGGGAGACTCTTGCTGTCTGACCTCGATGCCTACAGCTGCTTTTGCAGGTGGCATTTTTTTTTCTTTTTTGGCAATGACAGTGATAAGGGATTACAGGGATAAAGAAAGTCAACTCCTGAGCCAGATGTGAGAGTGTGCTCCTGCAGTTTTCCCACTCAGGAGGCTGAGGTAGGAGTTTGGAGATTTCCAGGCCAGCATCGATTACACAGCAAACTCCGAAGTAAACAAACTAACAGAAATCAATTCTCAGCTGGCTTCAGTGGGTAAAGGTATTGGCTTCTCAAACCCGATGACCCCAGCTAAATTCCTGGAATCCACACCAAGGTGGAAGAAGAGAACCAAGTCCATAAAGTTGTCCTTTGACCTTCACACACGTTTTAGTGTACACACACACACACACACACACACAGAGGTATGCTGCCCAGGAAAGATAATGATTTTTGTTTGTGTGTGTGTTTGTTGGAAGGAGTTTTTTTTCCCCCCAGACAAGGTCTCACTATGTAGCTCTGGCTATCCTGGAATTCACTATGGAAACCAGGCTGGCTTCTAGTTCACAGACCTGCCTTGAGCCTCCCAAGTCCTGGAATTAAAGACATGCACCACCATGCCCTGTTGATATTAACAAAATTTTAAAGTAATTCTTTAAAAATTATTTTTTGTTTTGTTTTGTTTTTTGTTGTTATTGATGATGATTTGGTGTTTTGAGACAGGGTTTCACTGTGTAGCTTTGGATATCCTAGAACTCACTCTGTACACCAGGTTGGCCTTGAACTCAAAGATCCACCTGCCTCTGTCTCCCGAGTGCTGTTATTTAAAGGCGTGCACTAGCACTGGCTGGGAAAATGTCAGTTCTTAAACACTGAAGAATATTTGCCATTCTAAGAAGGGAATTATTGCTAACACACATATGTATGTGTAAAGATAATGTTTTCTGACATTTGCTGCATTTAAAACTAGCTGATTTCCAATGAGTCATATGGTAAAGATGGTTCTTTATTATATGCATCAGGAACATCCCAACTACTGAACACATAATTGTTTCAGGAGCTAGCTATCTGTCTCCATGGTTGCTTCAAGCATACAAACTCTGGGCTCAGTCCCTCACATCTTAAAAGCCTTGCCAAAGTACTCTGAAAATAGCTTATTGCTCATCAATCCTGTACCCTAGTATTTCACTCAACAAGAATCCTAAAACTAATCTCATTCTAGAATCCTCATCTATTATCTGAACAAACTGTGTGGCGTTAAATTACATGTGATTTTTTTTCAAAGATAGTAGTTTCGTTTAAATATATTGTTTTAAAATACATCTAGTAATAGATAATGCACTCTGGATTTTTTTTCCCAAATGTTTAGACTTCCCCCACTTATCAAACTGAAGCAACCATTCTGTTGTAAGGACAGAGGAATTTTACAACCTTGACATTTTGAAAGCCAGAGACTGGGATGGGGGCACGTATTCAATTACCATTTGTTTTTTTTGTTGTTTTTTTTTTTTTTTTTTTTTTTGGTTTTTCAAGACAGAGTTTCCCTGTGGCTTTGGAGGCTGTCCTGGAACTTGCTTGGTAGTCCAGGCTGGTCTCGAACTCACAGTGATCTGCCTGCCTCTGCCTCCCGAGTGCTGGGATTAAAGGTGTGCGCCACCAATGCCCGGCTTCAATTACCATTTGTAGCCTCACTTTTATCTCTTATCTTAAAAAACCAAAAAGAACCCAGTCTCCTAAAGTTCTTTGAAATGTTTGAAAAATGCCTTTCTGGCCCTGTTTGCTGCCTCTAAAGTATCAATATTTTTCTCTCTCTTGTACAGAATCCCAATGCTCATCCAAGACCCACTTCCCAGGATTTGGCGGGGTTTTGGGACATGCTGCAGTTGTCCATAGAAAATATTAGTATGAAATTTGATGAACTTCATCAGTTAAAGGCCAATAATTGGAAACAGATGGATCCTCTTGACAAGAAGGTAGAACAATGTAGATTTTGTATGGTTCATTTAAAAACCTGCACAAACACTGGACAGTCTAAATAGGGCTCTGCATTCAGTCCTGCTGTTTACAATGTGAAATGGAGCTGGCTGGCATCATATTCATTTCATTGTAATGACAATGTTTACATACTAATCACTTGGGTATTATCTGTAATATGTGTCAGGCATATTTTTCAAAGAAAAACCTGTCTTTGTGAATTGGAAAGTGGGAATGTGGCTTTTCTTTATCTTTTCTCCTTTTTTTTCTTCCCTTCTTTCTTTTTTCTTTTTCTTCCCTTTTTTTCTTTTCTCTCTTTCTTCTCTGGTTTAACTTTAAGCTAAACCACTTTAGACACTGGAGGGAACTGCCTCCGGTTTTGCTTTCTAACCTAAAATAAATGATCTTTCCAGTGCATGGTTCCATAGGACAAGATTTCAACTTCCTTACACCCTCAGGATGTGTTTCTGAGGAAACATAGGAAACCCTGAGAAGTAACTGGCTGACAATCATAAACACGGTAACGAAGACGTTACTGATGCTGCAGTCTAAGATGCTCTCTACGAAGCTGACAGTCATCTCCAAAGTTGGGATTTTTTTTCTAACATTGATTTGCCTGGGGGGATATTGTTCCCTGGGCGGGGTGGGGGGTGGGGGGGTGGGGGAGGATCTTCATGCAACAGTATAGAAATAAAGACTTAAATTATTTTCATTAATCAATAATAACTTCATATCTGATTACTGTGGTTCCAACCAGGCTTCTACAAGGATCGAATGTCTGCCTTCCCAGGCTGATCTGCCTTGTATGAGGTTTTTTTTTAAACAACTTTTGTTCTTCTATGACCCAAAGTCAAATAGTTCCAAGAGATACCTCTGAAAACGAGAGATGGTTATTCGTTCAGAGCGGTGAGAGCCCTGCCCTTTTGGGTCTCCTGACCCATTAAGAGCTAAGAGTAATCTGCTGTCACCCATCGTTTCCAGATGTATGGGGTCAGTGGGCACCCAGCCTAAACCCAGTCCCAAAGGACTGCCCATAAGGAGGGCAATGTTGTCACGGCTATCCACCATCTCCAAATCTATGACCATCCAACTGGGGGGTTCTAGAACCAAGCTTGAAGTACCAGTGATGTGTGTGTGGCCTCTACGTTGAGAAGCCAAACATTGTACTTCTTCTAGTTTTCTTTATGTGTGAAACTATCTGCTGGCGAATTGGTCTTAAAAGTATACACACGTGTAAACACGCTGGAATTTTAGTACTGCTCCATCTACTATCTCACCTACTGATTCGTTAATATCATTGTTTCAAAAAAATAATAAAGTGTTCAAAGAAAGAAAAATGGCTAAAAAGTTTCCAATATTCATACTTTTAAAAATATCCACCAGTTATCCCACAGTGAAGATTTTAAACGTCCCGAAGAAGTGATGCAAAGAAACTGTTACATGTGACTTACTGGTGTGTGACCTAAATTATTAGCTTAGTTTCTGAGTTTTTAAAAATGCATTTGGATTATGGTCAGAGCCTTTCATCATCTCATGAACCCGACAGGAAAAGATAATAGAAGGGACAGAGGTGACGGGAGACTCTGTGTTCCCCCTTTTAGTCCTTCGGAAACAGAGGCACTGCTTTAAACAGCTGTGGGCCACGCCCAAGCGTAACCATGCTGAACTCTGCCTTTCTCGGTTCTGGGCATCAGGGTTAAGTCGGGTACTCGGTACCTTCCCGATAAAAACTTCCTGAGTGATTTCGTAAGGATGCAGAGCGTCTTACGTAAGTGGAAATGTGGAGGTTCGTGTGGACCCTTGCACAGCCCGAGGCTCAACACCTTTCGCCTAAAGCCACCCTTTGTGGCTTAGATGCCTTTCTTTTCCCCCTGGACGGTGACCATGAAGGCATCGGTGGCTGAATTTTGCAGGAGACTAGGTCTAATACGGTTTCAGAGTCTGCAGATAAGAGGCATGGCCTTTTCCAGTCCTGTGTTCAACTTTGATAACAAGTTGGGATTGTCTTCTTCCGGGCCGCCATGAGCATGCTGAAGCCCCTAGCGACCGATTGATATCCCGGAAAAAAAAATCCTCCCCAGAGTAGGAAATGCCATAGTCTCTCCACCCAGTGACCCTGTACAGTCTATGGCTGTGTGTTCCTGTGTGATGTGCAAAAAAAAGGGGGGGGGTTAACTCCCTGTGGTACCATCAAAGCCGACAAATACAACCTCATCTGGCTACTTAGGAATGGGTGGAAGGGGAGGCTGGGTAGGCGAATGGGGAGGGTAAGGAGGGTTTTCTTCTCTCACCCCAGCTCCTACCTGATGCCTCCTTAGACAGATCCATCATAGAGTTCTAAATCATTCTGTAAGCGGTTGAGATCTCCTGGCCCATCCGTAGCACCAGGAGGAGTCTGGAATAAGCGGTCAGAGCCAACCCTCGCACTGGCAGGGGTACGTCTTAAATGCTCACCCCCTGCCATGAAAAGACCTAGCTCTGCGACCCAGATTTACACTCGGCCTTAAGCGTAAGAGACGATGTGTCGTTGGTGGTGGGTTTTTTGTTCCCCCCCCCCTGCATCTTTTGAATACCCAAGCCAGAACAATGAGGAGAAATCATAGATACAGTGAACAGATCAGAGCTAACCATCCTTAGGTTAAAAAAAAAAAAAGCAGAAGTGTGTGTTTTCAAACTATTGACCTATCCCAGTCTTTCCCAAGCTTTGTCCTGAGAAGCTGTGTAATGTCCTGAACCTTCTGCTTTGATCAGGAGCGAAGGGCCCCTCCTCCAGTGCCAAAGAAGCCGGCGAAGGGCCCCGCGCCGCTGATCCGGGAGCGCTCGCTGGAGAGCTCGCAGCGCCAGGAGGCCCGCAAGCGCCTGATGGCCGCCAAGCGTGCCGCATCGGTCCGCCAGAACTCGGCCACCGAGAGCGCGGAGAGCATCGAGATCTACATCCCCGAGGCGCAGACCCGGCTCTGAGCGCCCGCCCGCCGCAGAGGACCATCCCGCCGCCCTGGCCCGCGGCCGCCTCTCCCTCCCACCCCGCCCCCCCCCCCGTGTCCCCCTCTGTCTCTGAGCTCAGTGACCGCCACCGTCGTGGCGTAGTTGTCCACCTCGCAGGAGCCGTTGTTCCCCAAGCCACCCCCCCACCCAGCTTCCTGGACCACTTTGCCCATCTTCTTCACCCACCGAGCTTCGCTCCCTTGTCCTGTAGCCTCATGCAGACATCCAAACCCTTTCTTTTCTGGGACAAGCAAACCCACCCGTGTAGAAAAGACACCTGTAGGTCACTCCGCCCTCCTCAGTTCTTTCAAGCTAGTGCGTCCCCAGAACTCAGCAATATAAAACCATAGGGTATTTCAGAAGCCCAGTGTCACACAGGGTGATCCTTTAGAGACTTAACCGTCTTCCACGTGAAAGAAACGAGGGCTCCGATTCCCTTTCTTTGCACCCCCCGAAAACGGTTATTTTTTTTTTAAACGAGCAGACAGAGCGCTTTATTTCTAATCTCAGAAATCACACCATCTCATCGGAATCAATGGTGACCAAGAGAGAGGGAACCAAGCTGGCCTGGGGTTGGGGGCCTGGGTGTGGCGTAGGAGAGAAGGGCCAAGTGCCCGGTACCCTGCATCTGTACCTGTGCAGCTGTACAAACCGCCTCGCCGGCACTTCATCAGTCGCAGCTTCTAACGTCTCAATCAGCAGAAGATTGTAAACCCGATCTTTCAGGGAAATTAATCTATTCTGAAAGGCAATAAAATGAAGAAAGTTTAAGGCAGAGGAAACCCCGATGGTTTAAGATCCCATAAAAGGAATCTATTTATTTATTATTAAGAGAATTTAGACCTGAAATGTTTTATCAACTTTTCTTGTACTCTGTGTATTATAATGTCATGGCAGTGGGTTTTTAAATGGGGGCCGGGGGGAGAAAGAGTTGGTTCTGCTAGTTCAGTGTCCGTTCGGGTGGGCGCACTGAACGATTTCACACGCGTGCGCACGCGCGCGCGCACACACACACACACACACACAGGAACATCTCTGCTTCTGAAAAGCGGCGAGGCCATTTCCAGAAGAGAGTTGCGGTTCTCTGCCACCCCCTTTGAACGCTCCACATCTGTCCAGTTCTGCCCAGCACTCCACAGTCCAGGGGTCACCTCCCACTCGTTCCGCAGCACAGGATTTTTGTCCTACATCAAATGAATAAAATAAAAGGTTTTTCTTTACCCCAGTTAACATTCTGCCTCATTCCCAAGAGCTGTCGTTATGATCCTCAAGTTCCAGGTAGTGAGAGAATGTCGTTTGGTATGCAGGGGCCAAGAGCTATGAGGAGCTAGGAAAGCCAGCATTCAGAACGGCTGAGAGAAACTCAAGCTTTGGGTTGGATTCCAGGCTTCCTGTTGGCTTACACTTTAGCCGTGGTCCATGGGCCGTGTGCACTGGCGTCCCGCTGAAGTCTTCAAAATGCCCTTACTTGTAGCAGTTTAAACATTCAGAATGTGGCAATCGGAAAGCGTCAGCCATATAGTATGTCAAGCTTGAAACCTAAAGAATTAGAAATTTGCCATTGAAAAACGGAAGTCTTAAAAGAAAAAAAAATGCTTGCAACAGAGATGCTGATAAAAAATACACTCTCATAGCCAGGTGCTAATTTAATTTTCTTTACAAAATTAAGAGAAGCGATGGGTTCTGGAAACCAATATTTTCAGACGTATTCTAAAACTACTAGAGAATCCGCTACCTCTCAGAGCCTTGATGCTTTGAGTTACCTTTAATAACAGGGCACAATGTTTACTGCTGTGGTTTACAAGAAAAGGGCTACTAACATTTTAAAAACAACAAAACAAAACAAAACTTTTAACTAGGGCAGACAAAGTCAGTGCTTTCTGAACTGGAGAAGAGATTTTTTTTTTTTTTTTTTTTGGAGCTTCAAGTATTTGCTAGTTCCAAAAAAGACAACAGTCTTGTAGTAGAACAGCAATTAAGCATCATGTGAAGTATGCAGGAGTAAGGTCAACTGTCACCTTGGGTAGCCCGCGGTCACATTCATCCAAGAAAGACTTGGCATTCACAGGAAGCACTGTCCATTCCAGACCCACAGTCACTACTACAGCTCCGTGCCCTGAGGTAGAGTTCAGTTTCTAGTGTGATTCCAGATTCTGCTACAATGTTTTCTTTGGGAACTGGTTTGGCCCAGGCTGTTTTAAAGAGGGACAAGTGAAGGCCTATTTATCTTGTCTTAAGTGAATGGCATTTGTATATTCATAAGCTATTTTTGGTAAGAATTTTAAATCTTTTAGCTGAACGCCTGCAGGGCATCACAACCCTTGCCTTCCTGAAAAACACAGTTTAAACTGTACAAACACTTTATTAAAAAAAAAAAGAAGGTAATCATTGATGGTAGGACATGACCCCACACACAATACAGCTTGTTATCCCCTGGAACCTGGAAACTGACATCCGTGAGCATAACATTTGTTGCGTTATTCTTTTTGATGTAATTTGTAGAGATGTTTTTTAGTTCATAATGAACAATGTATGTACCCTGAAAAATTGCTTATTTTGTTTAACTTTGGTATAAAGGTGTTGGGCATTTTCTTGGGGTGGGGGGAATTACAAAAGAAATTTGTCTCCCTCATCAAGAACAACAAAAAAATACATTCAAAGAAATTAAGTATTTATTATATTTTTTGCAGATGTTTCCATACAATTCACATAACCTTTTTGTAAAGAGAGATGAAGAAATGGATTAAAGATTTTTAATATTTGAAATGGTAAATAGAGCTAATTTATTTGTAATATATTTCTGTTATTTATAGATGTCCCCTTAATGTTTTACTGTGCAGTACTGCTTTAATTTAAGCCTTATCCTTATGAATTTACCATTTCTTTTTTAAGAACATGTCTAGATGCATATTTTAAATAACTGGAATGTAAATCATTAGCATATCTGAATTCCCTAATGTAATTTTTAAAAATTATTTTGGTTTGGGGAATAAAAAAAGATTCACTTGAAAGCCTTCAGATGGAGGGGTGGGGAAGATTTTTATGGCTTTCTGAATTGGAATTTCATAGGCTTATTTACCTAGATTGTGTGTGGCCAAAAAAAAAAATATATGACCTGTAAATACATGGATGTTTCCCATAATGTAAAAAGAAGGAATTAATAAAATAACCAACGCACTACTTTCAGGCCTGTGTGTTTTTTACTGAAGCCCCAAGTCTTCCAAAATCTAAGTGGTTGTCTTTGGAAGTGGGTGGCTCAGCAGCTAAGAGGCCTGTCGTCTTTCTCACTTTTGTTGTAATGGCATACTATGCTACCTACCCGCTGCCACACAGGCTGTGGGAGATCCTGTCTCAAGGATTTCAGAAGGAAAACCTGAAGTCTTTCATTCCGATAATCAGGTATGCTCGGCAGTGCTCCTACCACTGCGTTGTGCTGACAGGTAACAGGTTAGGAGTGATGCTGTAAGACCCTCACATATATATGGTAAGCATCCTGATTTCTTTGCATCCTTGTGTCCCCCCCCCAATGGGTTTCCCACACAGTTCTCAATGGTAAAATCAGAGTTGTACTCTGAAGTTCTTATTCCATCTTCAAGGTAATAAAAAACGGTTTGTGTCAGTGATGGAGGATGTGTTTAACATGTGTGTGAGGCCCTGGATCTAATCCCCGGTACCTTGAAGAACGGAGAGGGGGGGAGTTTTGCTCCAGGTTTAATTACTTGCCACCGCAACACAATTACTAAGGGATGGATTTGGATCTAAACTGCAGGCCTGTGCTTGGTACCTTCAACACCACCTCTGTCTTCTCTCCCTGGTTCACATTGGTGATTATTTGCCATTGTGGTTTTCCGTCTGGGTTTTAAGCTTACAGAGTGGACTTGCACTCATCACCTGGCTGAAAAAGTCTGACAGCTGTGTCCGCCAGCACCTCCTTCCCAGTTTTCTCCAACTTCTTGGCAAAATCCATCCATCTATATGCAACAGTCTTGGAGATGAGTATACAGATAGGCGTCTTTTTTTTAATTTTGGGGCCATAAGTCAGACCTGTGCCAGTCACCAAATAATAGAATAAGCTGTTGAAACTGAGATGCAAAATGGTCAACTGACCAAATCCATGGAGGCCACAAAGATCTTACAACTCGGACATGCACACACCAATCTCATCTAATCTGATCACATTTCTTGACTTTACACCAACCGAATTTATTTATTTCATCCAGGCTCCTTAAACATTTCAGCCAATCCCCAAACTGAATCTGCTTTTGAATGTAGGAATCTGAAGTTAAAGAACCCCAGCTAAGGCAGGAGTATCAAGAATCCAAGTGGGGGGGGGGGGAGCTGGAGAAATGCTCAGTGTTTAAGAGTACTTCCAGAGGATCCGGGTTCAATTCCCAGCATCTACATGGCAGCTCACAACTGTCTGTAATTCCAGTTCCAGGGGACCTGACTGACACCCATGGCAAAACACCAATGCATATAAAATGAAAATAAATATTAAAAAAAAAAAAGAATTAAAGTCCAGCCTGGGATACCTGGAGAGACCCTGCCTAGAAAGATGAAGGAAAAGAAAGAGAAGGAAGAGGAGGAGGAGGAGGAGGAGAAAGATGGAGGAGGATGAGAAAGATGGAGGAGGTTATTTTTAGTGAAGCAGTTTCCCATGTTAGCTCCCTCCTGGAAAATGTAAGTTAATTTTTTTAAACGGAAATTCAGGGAAAAAAATGTTTGTTGAGAACATGGCTTTTTTTTTCTTTTAAATCTTTGAGACCCACTCTTTGAATGCATAAACTGATTTTGGTTTAAATAAATGGCATGTGTCATAAATCATGGTATCGGTGTATTCTCTCTCAGTGGCACTGGGAACGAAAGGTGCTAAAGTTTTCCTTCTGTTTGTTCAATATGCTGTTTGACTTTCAGCTGCGAAACCAAGACCTAATCAATTCCTTTCGCAAACAGAAACTAATGACCCTATCTGAAATCCCTCCTTTGAGTCTAATTTTTTAAGTTTGCAAAATAGGTCTTAAACTCCCCCCCCCGCCTTAAGCCAGTCATTGTCTCCCATGAAGCAGAAGATTCACCCCTGTGAAAATCTCAAGAATGTGACACCCCCTGTGTCATCCTGTGCCTTGGTTAGGGGAAGAGGGGAAATATTTCCACATGTCCTCTAAACAAAGGAACAGGAGCCTGAGCTTAGAGCGAACAAGGCAGGAAGCAGTAAACATTTTAATAAATTCCCCGCCGCAGACTGAATACAGAACGTTTGTCCAAGGCACTGATGGAGAGTTCCTCTTTCTAGTCCCTGTTTCGGACAAGTCGATGTTAGTTCCACCTGGAAGCCTGATAGGTAAACCATTGTCACCAGGCAGTTTCTTCTGAGGAGGTTCTTCAATGGAGAGACTTTCCCCTTGGAAAGGGGAGCAGATACAGCCCTGTGCCCCCTGATACCCGATAGGAAATGCATTCTTCCCAATGGCTCTCTTCAAGGAGGTTATAAATGACAACTATTTTCTGCAGTCTCGAATCCTGACACCTCGAATGCTTCAGACACTGACGTGCGACAGAGAAAACATCCAAGCATAGCCAGGCTTTTGAGGTTTGCATAGCCAGCACTCCTTACCCCTGGGCTCAACATGCCCACATTTCAGCCAACTGTGAGTCAGTAATATTTGGAGGGGCAAGACAGCTAAGCATATAAATGTACTTGCCATCATCCGACTTGACAACCTAATTTCAGTCCCCAGTACCAACATGGTGGAAGGAAAAGCCCAACACTTACAAGTTTTCCTCTGACTTCCGCACACAAAACCTTGGCACGCACATGCACGCGCGCGCGCGCGCACACACACACACACACACAAACACACACACACATTAACAAATGAAAATAATTTTTTTGGTGTTTTTGAGATAGGGTTTCTCCGATGGTCTCGAACTCACAGAGATCCCCCTGCCTCTGCCTCCCGGGTGCTGGGATTAAAGGCGTGCGCCACCACCGCCTGCTTGAAAATATTTTTAAAATATATATTTGGGGGAAAAACTACAACTGAGCATGTGTAAATGTTTCTTTTCACTATTTCCTAAACAATTTTCTACAGCAGCTTCTTGTGTGGTCTTTGTATTGTAGTAAGTGTCATAAGCAATCTAGAGAGAAGGACACAGCAGGATGTGCTCAGGCAGGATGAAGACTCTGTCATTTTATGTGAGAGCATTCATAGATTTTAGTATCCAAGGTCTTGGAACCAGTCACCCGCAGGTATTTTGAGATGACTGGTTGATGGACACTGCCTTTTTCTAGGAGTTCAGAGTCCAAGGCCTACCAACATTTTTAATGATGCAAAGACATAAGGTAAGGTTAGATGGTACGATATATGGCCCCAATACAGGCAAGAACACATCTCCCTAGATTAACTGGGGCTGGAGAGATGACATAATACTTTCCCAGAAGACCTGGATTTGGTGGCTCACAGTCACCTTTAACTAGTTTCATAGGATTTGACACCTTCTTTAGGCTCCCAAGGGCACTGTGCACACGGTGTACCTACACATATGCAAACATTCGCACACATAAAATAAAAATGGGTGTGTCTTTTAAAATACATGTTCTACCAACTGAAAAAAATTCAGAGTCTACTTAAGGGAGTGGATATGTTATTTACGTGTCTCGTTATCTTAGCAGGGAGAATATCTCACCGTAAGAAACATTCACTTCTATACCTGACACTTCTTAAAGGTACCAGATTACTCACACTGTTTTATTGCCAAAATAAATTCATGTGTTTTACAGCTTGAGCTAGTATGACCAAGCATGCACGGAGGTTGATCCCAAAAGCTACTCTTGAACCAAGGTAAAAATGAAGATTGAATGATCCTGTCATGGATTCCTTTGGAGTTTACCTTAACACATTTCTTGGGGAGTTCCCCCACCCCAGCTCCCAGAATGTTCAGGGGAAAGAATCTTTATACACTGGGTGGAAAATAGGGGTTCACTCTGTTCTCTGCAGCTTGGCCTTCCAGGAGTCTTGGTGAACCTGCCACTTCCTACCCTGAGCCTGTTTGTTGACCTTAGCAAAGTCTGGAAGGACTGAAGGGGAGCCCTTTCTGTAGGAGCCAGGGTCTTTGCATCCAGTCTTGGAAGCCTTGACTAGGCAGGGGAATCTGTGAAATCTCAGAAGAGTGGGAAGTCTGGTCAAGTGTGTGGACGGTTTGAACAGCAGGAGGACCTAGCTCGAAAGGGTGGATTCCCAAACCGAATTTGAGTGAACACTGAACACTTTGTAAATCATGGTAACGTGAGAGACTTAACTCTGCCCACTCTTAAAATGGACCCAAAGTGTGTTTGAATCCAGCCTGACACCAGGTCCTTTGTCCATGGATGAGATTTGTTCAGAACAAGTGGTTCCTTACGTTGGTTGTTTTAAGGCTGAAAAGAAACACCTATGAGAATTTCAGGATGGGAATAGCAAGCTCAGTATGAGGCCAACTTTTCACTGCCACTCTTCCATGTGAGACTCAACACATCTTAACAGTTTATAGCACGCATATCCTTCCAGCGTATGGGTTTTCAAGTGTGGACACATTTTTCCCCCACCAAAGGGCAGCCCATTCTACATGCTCCTGTTTTACTTAGTAACCTATTATTCCCGTTCAGAGCACCGCGGCCCACCTACTGAGTGGTTTCAGTGTTCCCTTTTACGCCTTAGCCACGATAGATTTGTTTTATTGTTGTTGCTATTGTTTGGTTTTTCAAGACAAGAGTTTCCCTGTGTAGCCCTGGCTGTCCTGGAACTCATTATGTAGACCAGGCTGGCCTCGAACTCACGACATCCACCTGCCTCTGCCTCCTAAGTGCTGGGATTAAAGGCAATGCGCCGCCACCACCCAGCTGCAACATTACTTTCTTAACCACTGAGCAAGCTCTTCAGCCCAGACATGCAGCGATTTAAGGTCTGCATTGATTGTTTTTTTCACTCCACCAAACATGAATGCATTGTAGTACCTACTTTTATGGACAATGAAACAAAGTATTATCGTTAAAATGTCTAGGTTTACCCAGTAACGAGACACAAACCTTGAGTCAATGGTCCCATGTGGAGTTTTATTGGTGGACAGGGAAGGAAAAGGGGGCTGAGGGGTAACCAACCCAAGCAGAGCTGAGAGATAAGATATGAGACAGAGAGACAGAG